TCATTTTGTTTCTTTGATTCTGTCTATATTGTTACTAATGATTAGCATATCATCAACATATAGACACACTAATGTGATTATATCACCATTCACTTTTGTGTAGAGACATTTATCTACTGAATTGTGATTAAATCTATTTGACATTATTTTAGAGTCAAATTTCTCATGCCACTTTTTGGAAGCTTGCTTTAATCCATATAAAGATTTAATTAATTTGCACACCTTATGTTCATTTTCTGGTAGAACAAACCCTTCCGGTTGTTCCATATAGACCTCATCTTCGAGATCTCCATTTAAAAATGTCATTTTTACGTCCATTTGATGAACATATAAATCATATATAGATGCTAATGCAAATAAAATCCTTATTGAGGTTATCCTTGCCACGGGTGCACATGTGTCGAAGTAATCAATTCCTTCCCTTTGACGATACTCTTTAGCTACCAATCTAGCCTTATAAGTATTAAGCGATCCATCAGAATTATATTTCTTTCTAAATACCCATTTACACCCAATAGCTTTCAAACCTGCTGGTAGGTCAACTATTTAGTTTGTATGTATTGTCGTGTTGGATCGTAGAAAGATTCAAAATACCTGGCAAACAAAAGTTCAAGATTACGTTATGTAAATTATATCTAAATTGTGATTTAAATCTTCAAAGTGGTCGAAAACCTCCCCAACAGAGAGATGCAAAGGAAGTACATTTTTCATTTTTCGACAGAAAATGTAAAAAGATATAAATTCACTTTTTTTTTTTACTTACAAAAAGAAAAAAGTAAATTTATATATTTTTCAGACAGTTAAATTAAGTGTAAGTGTTATGCCCTAAATCCAATCGATTTAGGTTGTAAATACTTGTAGTATGTTTAATGCATTTATTTTTTGTAAGATATATTATTTATTTAAATTAATATTTTGATAAATAATATTAAATAATAGAGTACGAAAATTCAAGTTTAAATTATTTGTTAATCATAAGGAGTTGTGGCTGTGAGATGCAAATTACATATAATTGAATCTTGAATAATCCATGGTCATAAGTAATAATGAGATACGAATATTGTTATTACAGATAGATCATCACATGTGGCATTTCTTACTTGTGAAGTAAGTAGCTGATCTCACGAGCTAAAGTGTGGTGACACTTAAATGAAATCGTATATGTTTTGTTATAGAACGAAACATTGGAGACTCGCTAAAAATTTCCACATGGATAACTATCTGAGTGTCAGTGGTTAATCTCTAACGTTAGGCAGTAGAATTGGTTCTTTGACTTGAGGTCGTCATAGTGCCTTATATGAGGACAGTTATGCTTTGACGGTGTTGGATGTTGTTATGTTAAGGGCCACTAATACGACATCGTTCAAGTATGTCAATAACCATATGAAGGTTGTGAATGACCAATAGAGGATTCGTCACTCTTAGATAGTAAAAGATTGTGATCTGCATTGTTCAATTAAGTCAATAATGAAATTACATAAGTCGAAAAGGAGTTTTCGACTCACGTTGACTTAATAGTAGAATGAAATATATGATCGATAATCGAAATTGACGCACTTTCATATCTCGTAATTTATCAGATTATATTAATGAAGTGATTATAGTTTCATGGTAAACGAACAAGTTTGGTTTTGTCATACCACGTGACATTTTCCGTCACATGTGTTATCCTGATACATTGCTAGATATTAATTTGGGACGGCGAGTGTAAATTGGTGATAAATTAAAAAGGTATTTTAATTTATCAATTTTGATTATATCAAAATAATATTTCACATCATTAGATATTGTGGTCGGAAATATAATGGATCGCACATAAAAGAAAATTGGAAAATTGTAATTTATCAATTACTTAATTTCACAATCATTGAATAAATTAATTAATTTGGTTGATTATTTATAGGCTCGAATTAATTAATTTGATTAATTAATTCACGGACCGAATTTAATTAAATGGATTAATTAAATATTGGACCTGACCAGACCAAACCCGGTTGGATTTATATAAATACATGGTTAGGATTTTCAATCTTTAGAGTTTTTCATAATTTCTTGTTAGCACAAGAGGATAAAATCATGATAGCCGCAATCTGTTCTCTGTATGGAATTCATTGAAGGCTGGATAATTGAACAGCTTTGGAAGGCAGATCAAAGTTGTTGTAACAAAAATAACGCAAAGGAGTTTGTAGATCTAAGAAAATGTATAACTTTTATCACACTTCCTATTTAAATACAAAGATGAATTCTGATACGAATTGAAATTGTTTTTATTTTCGCTGTGCATGTTTAAGTAAATTCCCAATAGTGGTATCAGAGCCAACTTTATATTTGTTAGAAATTGATTTACATGTTTATGAAATCAAAAGTTGATTTTTCATCATGTTCTTGAATCTAGCAATTAAAGTATTTATATTTCTTCAAAATTTGTTTTGAAAAAAAAAAAAAGAAAAACAAAAGAGGAATATTTCGGGTCGATGGTGAGCGGTGGCAGTGCCGCTGCTGGTTGGGGCAACGCCTTCAACGCCAGTAAAGGTGCCACCACTGGAGGAAAAACAATTTAGGGTTTTCGGGAGTTGGAGATGGGGGGCCTCTCATGCAATTTATGAAATTGCAAGCCCCCGCATGCAAATTGTTTTGGGAGTTGTCTTGCAAATTCTAATAGAAAGCGGAACATTCAGTTTATTTTTAACCACATATTCTCTATCAATCTACTATTCAAAACAGAATTCTTAGCCAAATAATGGGACTCAAGCAAGGGCTAAATAATTTCAAAAAAAAAAAAATGATTGAAAATGACTTTAAAGAGTCAACAAAATAGTTATCTTTAAACTCAACTTATAAGTAACTCTTTTCTCCAGGAAATATAGGGAAATAAACGAAGTAACTGGCACAACGACCTCGTAGTCTTCCCTTCATCTCTCTTGCACAAACACATGCAGAGGAGAGAGAGAGAAAATATCTTCTTAACAAACTTCCTTATTTTTAAAATCCTTTCAAATTATGTAATTAATTTGAAAAAGCCAGGACCCATGTTATGATTCACAAGTGATATGCAATATGTTAGGATTCTAAACTTTGTACAAACAAAGAAACAAACGTACAACATTGATGAAACAAAATTTCAGCTTAAAATAAACAATAATTAGAAATGAATTATTGGTAAGAGTATACATTGTATACCCAAAAAGAATTTGTTGTTTATATAAGTATTTGAGAAATCCCGCCCAATATTATAGTAAACAACGTAGTTCTTTCTCGCTACAATGGAGTAAATATTCAGTCCAAGACAATTTTAGCGAATAGATAGAGAATATTAAAACATCCATGGTGTTACACTTCAAAATGCAACCAGGGGTAATCATTCAAACTCAATATCGAAAACTGAAGTTTAATAAATGCATGCATACAAGAAAGAAGAAAATAAGAAAAACCAAATTATTGAAAATAAAATTATTTGAATTTGTCCCAAAAATGTTAATACTAGACATTCACATAAAGTTTAAGTTTGTTTTTAGAGGCTGGTTTTATTAGTATTATTATTAATGTAATCCTAAAGAAAGAAACAACAAAATTTACCGAAATATTTAAATGGACAATTTATTTTTTACTTTTTTGAGAATATGATAGTGGAGGAAGTCCTCTTAGAGATATATAGAGAATTAGGGTTGATAAATAGTTCAATAGGCATCTCATGTATTTTTCTGTCAGAGAAAAAAAAAATAAAAATAAAAAAAGAGAGAAATTGGTTATCTTGAAATAAACAAAATTTTTATCAATTTTTTAATTCTTTATATTTTGATCTTTAATTCTACTATAATTTTTAAGTCTACTATAAGTTACAAAATTATAAAATTTAAGGAATGCTAATCTTAATTGAATCACATGTAAATTAAAATGACTCAAATTAGTCGTCACTATATGTCTCATCGTTCTGGATGTTGAAAGAAAATTTAAATAGATATTTTTATAGAGTTTTCATACTATACATGTTAACGGATGTTGTAGTTTTTTCGTTTAGTATTATGGATATTTTAGTTGTTCCGTATGTTGTAAGATGAAAGTCTAGAATTCAAATTCCACAAATCGTTTTTAAAAACTAAGCATGTAACAAGTCTTAAATGAATTTGACATTTAAAATACTATACATCTCTCTCTCTCTCTCTCTCACACACACACACACACACACACAAATACGACAGGCGATTATTTTTTAACATTTTATTTATAATCTTATTTTAATCAGGAAAAAAAATAAAACGTTGTTAGTAATATCAACTAAATTGCAGATGGTCAACATTAATTGAAAATTTGATAGCATGCTGTCAAAAGAATGTAAAGAAGTAAATTCACATCAAATAAGTCAAAACCAGTTTAATGAGACCATTGCTTAAATTTTTTGTTAGTTTTCATTTAAATTTTAAATTCAGAAATTTATAGGATGAGTACGTTGTATCCTATATTTTGTATATTTAAAAGTTTGCAATATTATCACCAAAAAAGTAATGTTATTGAACAGACTTGATACTCAGTACCAATCTACGTGACATTAGATTACTCCTACATAGTTCAAAGTATGAAAACACATTTCAATTTCATTAGACAATATAGTAATGATCCCCTGCCACGTAAACTATTCTAAATAACATTACTCAACAAGATATCAAAAACTAGGTAGGAGACATTATATTTGAAGCTGCTAACATACACACACACGCATATGTTCGTGGTCATCAATAACCTATATGCATCACGATTCACAATTTATAAAGAATCGAATAAAATTATATATGTTAATAAAATTAATGTTTACAATGAAGTAAAAATACAATGTTAAAATTAACGTTCACAAAGAAGAATTAAAGTCTTAAGAGAAACAAAGTGTAAGGATAAATAAGAGTCAAAATCAACATAAAATAATAATATTACTTCAAATTTATTAGATACTCATCTACTATAAAAGGTAGTCAATGTCTAAGAGCCACCCATTACTTGATTTTCCGTAAGGACTCCATCATCGACAAATTGATTTGGATTCTCAACAGTTGCATTTTCCTTCTACAAGAAGAACGTAACATTAGAGTAAAAACTTGAAATTTTTTTATAAACAAAAAATCTAAAACACAATTGAAATTTGCAAGGTTCAAATTCCATCTAAGCAAATATGGGGTTGGAAAGCTACCTGTAAATGATTCTCTAATAATTTCCATAATTCTTTTACTCTGCTCTTTGAGGCTTCAATATCGGCATCTATTTCTTTAATTTTCTGTATCACACAACAAATTATTTTAGAGTAAAAGAATCTCTTCAAGTATGAGAGTTTCTAGGTTTGCAAGTTTTCATTTACTTTTGGATTGATAATAGAACAATTAAGATAAGAAGAAAATGTAACAACGAAATTGTTAGCCACGACAAGCTAATAATTTTGTATATTTTGCATCACGTGATCACGAGTTCATTTAAAATAATAACCAGAATGGGAACATAAATGCAATACTTTGAAGTAAATAGAAATCTAAATATATCAAACCTTCTTCAGCAAAATATATTTCAGATCATCTTTTAGGTACTTATTTGCTCGTCTCCTGCAATTGTATACAGCAAGTGAGGTCCAATTAATTGGAAACGAATATTTTAGAAATAGATATGGAAATATTACTTAGAGAATTTGTTCTCACTTTAGCTCGTAGAATACACCAAATTTTTTTGTTTTGATCCTCTTTAAATAAAATTCATCTGGGTTCCTCAATGCCGCTTTTAGCTTAAGTTTCTGCAGGCAAACAGTGACTTACAACGAATAGAAGCTAAAAAGAGATTTTGAAGACTAAATTCGAATTCAAAAGTTACCCGTAAAGCCTGCTTCTTTTGGTGATAAGCTCGTGCACGCTCGATATAATCCTTGTGAATTTGTTTCCTTGTAGACGACATTGCTATAATCTGTAACAAACATAAAGAAAGGATCTTGTCAAAGATTTATCGCAAAAAATAGAAAATAATAATAATAATAAAATAAAACAGCTAAAAACCCATAGAATCCCCCTGCAATTAGAAGAAAAATAAATTTATACGCTCAATAGAACAAATCATAAAAATCAGATACTGATTGCTGTTTCGTCAAAACTAAATAGTTTGGTCGAAAGTGTCGTTCATTAATGCAATCTCCAGGAGAAGAAGAAGAAGAAAAAGAAAAAAAAAAAAAAAAAAAAAAAAACAAAACAAAATTCAGACGGATGTTCGTTTGGTTATGAAGGTACCAAGGTCATTACCAAATATCAATTTAGGGTTTCTTTATTAAGTTTCAAATATGTAACACAGAATGCTAGTAATTAATCTATGAAATTTCTGTTTCTATTCAAAAGAAAAGAAAATATTTTTACCTTATCTCAGTTAAAGAATTGAGAAGAACCAGGCTGGATGGTGATGTGAAGCAATTTCAGCGGCTGCTGCAATGGCGAGGAGGAGCTTCTCGCGAGTTTTATCGTCTTATAAAAGGTCTAGTGATGGTTGGCTCCTGGTAGCATTAGGTATCTAAATCGCATCACTTTTAAATGCGACTTCTGATTATTATTAATTATTACTCTACCACTATGAATCTTTTATTTATAGCATTATTTAATCAACCGAGTTGCGAGTTCAATATTTTTGTAGTGTAACTCAAAATCATATTTAATAGCAATGGAAGTCCTCGCCGGGACCGTCGCTCGAACCCCGTAGCTACGTTGACTACAAAACCCACAACGAAACTGACGAACCCAAGAAAGTCAAATTAATCCAAGAGTTTAGGATTAACCCAAAAGAAAGTCGAACCAAAAAACTCAACAAGAACGACGCTTGAAAGACCCCTTGATCACGCAATCCAAAAATTAAATTCGGTTGTTTGAACGTCACAAGTTAACACTTGATAAGTTCGAA